TCAGAAGACCTCAGCTATAACGCCCCGTTCAGATTTTGCCCCTCTCGTTACGTAACAGACGGAGTCATCTGCATAGCACCACCTCCCCTCTGACTAACCAGCTCCCACAGACAAGAGCTGCCTTTGCTGCTCTCCGCCATGTTTGGCCTGCAGTGGCTGTTCCTGAAAGCCTGCAGCTAAGTGCTGCGGCGGCCCTGATGTTCACTGCAGGGACCAGCACAGAAGTTTTCATGATGTTTCTTGTGAAACTTTCTACGGACGTGCTAACGTTACTTCAGCTAGCGCTAGCTTTGTTGTTCTTCTGAAACCGGTTTCCTGCTATTTCCATTTCTATCAAAATGAAAATGTGAAATTTAAACCTGTAGTAAGCAACACAATACATTTCTGTCTCACCTTCAAACTTTATTATGTTGACAGATAAATGACATCATAATATAATGATACAATATTCAGTATATAAACAGTATTTTTAATGGGGTTCAAACATAATTGCAGCTTTTACAAATATCTGAAGGTGAACTTTGGTAATAATACTTTCAAGTTAAAATATCAGACTATGAAATATGGATACAGTACAGTTAACAGTTGGTTACTGAGCAGTTTTTAAACCACATAAACAAGTTAGTTTATTAGATGAGTGATTCCTTCAGTTATGTTGACATGTTGTACAGGATAAAGTATTCCAGGTTTCTGTTTCCATGGTCTCAGTAAACTAATGTGTATAAAGAATATAACAGATGGGAGGTTACAGTAATCATTATACTATTACTCTGATTACTTTGGAACATTTACTGGCTGTTTCTTCACTAGAAACAACTGCTTGACTGATGTTTCAGTCATCTGTTTTATATGGTAACATCTCCACATCCAGGTAATTACACTTTATATTATATACTATGCTACATGCACATGCTAACACGTTACCTCTTTAGCTCCTCACAACAAATATGTTTAACTTCACTGGGCTGTGTAGACTGTAGGTCACTGCTCACTGCTGGACCTGTAAGGACAAGCATTAAACACAGTGTTGGTTCTCATAGTTAAGGTATAAACACTAACATTATGTGATAGAGAGAGATTAATAGCGTTAGAGGTAGTTACCTGAGGAAAATGTCACAGAAAGCTGTAATCCTGATTGTTGATGTTCATTTCTCCGTGGTTTCAGGTCAGACTCCGGTAGTAAAGTTTTTGGTTTAGAAGCAGTTATTGAATTAATATTGACGGTAGAAATGCAGATAAACTCAGTAGCATTGACGAGCTACCTGTCGGCAACGCTGAAGCGGAAGTGGGAGGGGCCGGAGCGTCATCCGCGTCATAATGCCGACCAATCAGAGCAGACTGGGCTTTTTCGGAGGGGGGTCTTAAAGAGACAGGAGCTAAAACCGATCAATTCAGACAGAGGCTGAAAAGAGGAGCTCAGCTATAGGCAGTATGAGAAAAAGAATGTGTTTTTTGAACATCAAAACATCTAAACCTATTGTAGGAGAGCCACAGAATACAATTATGAACCTGAAAAGGGGCATAATATGTCTCCTTTAATATTAAAGCATGTAAACCTGTTATAAAACCACTTAAATATAAATATGAACCTGAATATGAGCAGATTATTGCCTCTTTAAGTGTTTTCTTTTACTTTTTCCTGCTATTTTCAGCTGAGCAGCAGCTCTTCTTCTCTTTGTTTTCAGGAGACTTTTAATTTGAAAGAGACTTCAACCTGGTTGATTAAAGGTTAAATAAAATGTCTCTCCATCCAGAATCTCTTTTCCTTCCTCTCACACTCTCTCCTCGCTCTCCCTCCCTTCCCTCTCTCTCTTTAGTCAGCCTAATTGCCTCCTAATTAACATTAATTGCAGTGATTGGACGCTTTCATGTCAATTAAGTGGCTATTCATCTCCTATTAACCAATTAGCCAATCAGAGGTTGTTACTGTTACCCTGTAATGACACCGAGCACCAATCACGTCAACGAGACGCCCAAACAACGCTCGCTCTCTCCGCTAACGAGATAACGAGCAGACTGAGAGCAGCTCGTTAGGAAGTAATCTGTTACTGTAATCGTACCTCTCAGAGTTTAGTTTAATCCTCAGATTTACTGAAACCTCCTTAAATGTTTGTTTGTCTTCTGAAAACTCATCTGTCACAGAGTCCTTGAACACATCAGCAAGGGGGGGAGAGAGAGAGAGAGAGAGAGAGAGAGAGAGAGAGAGAGTGTGTGTGTGTGTGTGTGTGCCCTTCACTGTTGACCTGAAGCTTTACTGTTGTTTACTGAACCATGTAATGACAGAGAGAGCGAGCAGCTCTGACCTCCACCGCTGCTCGCTCTCTCTCAGTCCATCATTCAGTGAAGACGAGGAACATTTGTGCACACGCTGCAGACTACAAACTATAAATAACTAAAATAAATACACTAAAAAAACCTGATTAAATATATTATTCTAAAAAACTTTATATTTCTAATAGTATTTTTTACAAATTCTTTAATAATCTGCAACATTTCAGTGAGCGCTGCTCCAGAGCGCTCTGCAACAACATCTTCATCACCTGCAGACAGTTTAAGTGTGTGTGTACCTCCATGCTGCTGACTCGGCCCTCCTGGAAAGAGCAGTCCTGCAGGTTGTTGGTGCAGATGTGACGATATTTACACCAATGACACGGAAACTCACTGCTGACACAGGAAGTACACCTGAGAGAGAGAGGGAGAAAGAGAGAGAGAGAGACAGACAGAGAGGTTTAAAAACTGATGAAGTTGTTCCAGAAATCTGAGCTATGCTTTAACAACTGACCTCTGCCTGTCTAAATCTGCAGATTATAATCAATACATTTTATTCAGTTCATATTTTATTTGTGTGACACTTCATTTATTAAATGAGGAAGTTGGATTATAGGTGATAAAATGTGTATAACTTCCAGAGTGGTTGTTCTGCTCTCTTTCACATCTTCACTTCCATCTTATTTTGAAACAAGTCTGCAGCCGTCCTTCAGCACCTGCTGATATTATTCTGTATACAGTCATCAAATCTCATGTTCAGCTCCAAACCAACAATGTGTTGAATCTGGTGTACCTCAGGGGTCAATGTTTGGTCCCCTGTTGTTCCTAATTTACATCAATGATCCATTTAATGTTCATAAACTGACATCTGATATTTTATTTGCAGACGACTCTGTATTATTTTTATAATAACAGAAACCTTAAAGTATCCGTCAGTCTGCTGTTATTCTAGTTTATCGTCCACAAATTCAAGTGGCGGATGAAACCGCATTTGGTGCTGTGGTGAGTGTTTGTGGTAGCAGGACGGAGTATAAATAAACTACAGTGTTTGTTGTAATGAAGGAACAGTGAGGAGCTCTGTGGCTCAGAGGAAGAAGATATGTCACAGATCGTTGTTAGTGGATTCATTCACTGTTGGTTTGAGACCACAGACTGTGTGTGTTTGGGATTAAAGTCCATTGTTGTGTTTGAGTCGACATCCAGCTGATCTGTGTGTGACCTCAGCAGGTGAGGACGAACACCTGTGTGACGAGGTGTTTAAAACAAGTGTGTGTGTGTGTGTGTGTGTCCTCGGGCTGTCCACACCAGCATGTTAAAAGAATTTAAACACTCCCAGGGGAGACAGGAAGTGTTTCTGTATCCAAGGCACCGAGCTGCTGTTACCATAGTAACCAGCGAGCCCGCCACACAGATTATGTTACCCCCCTTGATCTGCCCCCCTGAGGAGGGAGGAGGGAGGAGGAAAACAGAGAGGAGAGGACACAGGAAAAAACAAGAGAGGAAACAAGGAGATGAGGAGGTCCAGACTTACGAGTTGAGCACAGAGCAGTTGTAGTAGATGAAGCTGGTGGTGATGAAGTGGTGTCCGGTCTCAGTGGATCGAAGGCTGAGCTGAACGACACGTTTCTCTCCTGAAACCAATGACACAATATCACTGAATACATCCACACTGACTGAGAACATCCACACTGATAAAAACACAGTGTGTGTGTGTGTGTGTGTGTGTGTGTGTGTGTGTGTGTGTGTGTGTGTGTGTGTCTCACCGTAGGAGTGTGTGTGTGTCGGCAGCTCTCTCAGTGACGGTGACATACACATCACCTGACCTTTAGCCAGAACCTCTCCGGGGGTTTCACTCAGGTCCTCAAACACACAGGACACGCCCCCCGACAACGCCGGGACGTTCTGCACTTGGATGGTTAACTATGGTGATAAACACATGAATGGATCAATAATTATAATATAACAACATAATAATAATAATCAGTACTGTTACTGTACCTGTATGTGTCTGTGTGTGTGTGTGTGTGTGTGTGTGTGTGTGTACCTGGGTTGCCGGGGAGGTGACTGACATGTCGCTAGGGGATACAGAGATGTTGACACATTGGTCCAGCCGGGTGTTGAAGTGCTGAGGCTCCTCCCATTTGTCACATGCTTCCTGTCTGGAACACCTGGAGGGGTCAAAGGTCAGCACAGGATCAACACACTGCACACACATATTTATCTCTACCCACTATATTTTTAAATAGTTTACAGATTTGTATTAATTTTTTACTATTTAATTATTAATTCAGCTTTGTATTATCAATTAACTCATTTTGAAATTATTCATTTATTTTAAAACTGTCAGGTATTACTTAATTTATAATTAATTTAAAATTCTATTGATTTATTTCCATTTAAATTCCATAATAAATCAAAACAGAATTTTATTGTATTTATGAAGTTATTTAATAATTCTAAAATCATCTATTTGTGTATTTTACAATCAGATCTTCAGAAGAAATTCCCTGAAACTTGTTTTAACATTTTCACGCCTTTACTTTGAAACAAACTGTGGTTGACTTCCTGTTTGTTGTTTGAGATTAATAAAAGAGTCTGAGCGGCTCCACACTCCACCAATCAGACCCTAATGATTGTTTACTTCTAATTAACAACAGCTGGAGGAGGAAGAGGAGGAGGAAGAGGAGTGAAGATGAAAAGCTGAGAGGAAGCAGAGCGACAGGAAGAGTCAA